GTAATTTAGGAATTTACTAAACAAGTTAAACGAAGAAGAAGAAAAGAAGTGTCCATTCCATCCATTAAATGTAGGTTACTCTGTGCATACTGAAAATGTGCATACAATTCAAATACCGCAGAAATAGTAACTGTTCCTCATATGATTTTAGAAGATGTGGGATATAGTGCGCAAGTTGTATTTCGATTCCTAATATAACATAACTGCACCTAAATGCAATGCCAAAATGCATTTTTTACGTGATATTTGCATAAAGTCGAGCATAACTCTTTTTGATGCTCTCAATACGTTCTCCATCTGCTGTCAATCCCACAGTTCACTGCGCGAGCGTGACGCTCAACTCGCATTAAAATCAACTGAAAACGTTTGCTCTGCTTACAGTCTTAGATTTTTTAAATTTACCATGCCTTCTTTTGCTAATTTTCAAATGCCTTTATATATTTTATTGTTTTCCCTTTGAGACCCAGAAAGATTTCACTTTGAAACATATGCAGTCTGTGCAGTTTCTAACAAGCTGCAATTGAGTAAACTGTGATAACTTGATATTTGACAGCACTGTCATCGGAAAAGAAACTAAGCAAAATGAAACAAATACTCTAAAAGTTCCTTACACTGTTACACACTCAGCAGGAATGAATTGGAAACTGTTTCATATTCATGATCATGGGCGGAGCTACTGTGTGACGTCACTGCAGTTGAGTCAAAGACTTAAGTGAAAGTGAAACTTAACAGATGAACTGAAAGCTTCATCAAACAACATTTCTATTCAGAAACTCTAAAATTAACTATCAGATCTGATATTCACTCACAGGTAAGTGATGGAAATATAAAGAGCTCATTCAGTAGTTTAATAGCATGAAGCAGTATCAGAATATTAGTAAAAGTATGTAATTTATTTGGTTGTAATTCAAAGTCTGATGTGTGCTGTCAGTTTAGAGACGATAGAAACAGGAAGTACTTGAAATGCAGACAAAGTCCAATGAACAATGAACAAAGTCCAGTGAAAATCATAACTCAGTTAAACAAAAATTACGCCTCGTGTTTACATGTGATTATTTAGTAGGTTATATGTTTGAAATATTACACTTCCACCATTTTTCTGTGTTGCATTTCATATATAACAATGCCTTTTCGTGATATTGTTCAATTATAGTTGTAAAACTTTATTTCGTTTCTTTATTTAGTTTCTTCTTCTACCACCCAATAATATGCACTGCAGTGCCACAGAGCCATCAGAAGCACCAGACCAGCAGTTTTAGACCGGAAGTTGGGGGCGGAGCTTATAGGCTCAGTGAAGTTTACATTCGTGAACTCTGTCCTAACTTCCAGTCAGAAACTGCTGTCACATATTACTCTATGGCTGCTTTGCCGATGAAATAAACAGTGGTTCATAGTTTATGTTGTTATAAAAGTTTATTTAGAATCGTATTTAAAATGCGACATTCAATCCATACACAAACTAAATGATTCAATCACATCACAAGTACTATCAAAACTGCTCTAAACATTAATTTAGGTGATATATTGGTATTACTTATCTTTTCAGCATGTCATCCTCCAGTGGTCCACTAAATGAGGAGCTCCAGTGCTCCATCTGTCTGGATGTGTTCACTGATCCAGTCACCACTCCATGTGGACACAACTTCTGCAGAACCTGCCTGAACAAGTGCTGGACAAACACACATATCTGCTTCTGTCCATTCTGTTATGAAACATTCAGCAGAAGACCTGACCTCAAGATTAATACAACACTCAGAGAGGTTGTGCAACACTTTAAGGAGAAGCTCAATCAAGAAGAATCTGGGGTATTCTGTGACTTCTGTGATGAAAGAAAGCAGAAAGCCGTGAAGTCCTGCCTGACGTGTCAAAGCTCTTACTGTGAGACTCACCTGGAGCCTCATCTCAGAGTCCCACATCTAAAGAAACACACACTGATCAACGCTGTGGAAAATCTGGAGGATTATATATGCCAGAAACACCAGAGACCTCTGGAGCTGTTCTGCAGAGATGATCAGACATGTGTGTGTTTGTTCTGCACTGAAGGAGACCACAGGACTCACAACACTGTTCCTGTAGAGGAGGAGAGTCAACAGAAGAAGGCAAGAGATACAAACAAAACACTATAAAGATCCCATGAAATGCAGTTTTCTTTTCTCTGTGCTAACATGTTGAAGAACGTTTTGCCTTTTTTTATGATAAGGGCCGGTCACACATCACGTTTCGTACCATTGACTTCCATTCATATGTATGCAAATGCAGGAGAGCATAAATGTAAGCTCCTGCGAAGTTGTTTCGCATTTCACTGTGTTTCAAAGTTCAAGTTTGGTGAGCTTTGGTGAATTTGTATCACATGAAACCGTGTGACCAACAGAAGATTGATACGTCACGGCATGACCTCGTAGCTTAAATAAAAGAGCAGAAATATAAAACTGCAGTGCTGCAGGAAAGTGGAGTAGATTGCATGTTTTTACATTTTGGATTTATTATTATTTGAGCTGAGTAGATTACTTACAAATTTCAGTCCATTACTGATTACAGATTGCATGATGAAAACTGTAGTTCACTATCGAAAGGTAACTCTCATTGCGTCGTCTTGACGACTATGGGGAAAACCTATTTTACTCTGATACAGCAGCCTGATTCGTTCACATTTGTGTAGCTGCACAAACCAATGGCGCTCTAGCCCACCAAAATGGGCGGGGCCACCTGGCTATATAAACCAGCTCAGAGCACCATCTCATCAGAATCTTCTTCTCTTTTTCTCACTCCGGCACAGGTCCCGTGTGCTCACTCTCCCTGCAGCACTTTAATTCGCCAGTGTGTTTTACACGTGAGGATCAGCGGCCATCGTTACATCGAGCAGTTCAATCCTTCTAGGCATATCAGAGTAGAATGCTGTCACTGATGTATCGCTTCTGTATCTCTGACAGTGTTATTCAATGAAACTATATGATTATTATTAATTATTAATCATTCATTATTGCCTCATTGTTTTTATATAATACATTTTAAAGGTTGTTGTTTGTTAAGGTCTGTTTTTATTACCATAAAAAAAATATTAGGCTGAATAGCCTACTTCTTTGTTAATTATTATTTGAAGTAACAAAACCATGGTTAATTTGTGGTTACCATGGCTACAAGAACCATGATTTTTTTTTTATTCATAGTAAAACCACAGTTAATTTTTGTAAGGCAACATGGAAACTAAATATTAGCGAATATTAGACATGGAGAGAATATTAAGGCAGATGCGTTGGTGGTGGTGAAATTATTATCGACATTAAAACACTTTATTAACGTCAACAGACAAAAAAGTTTCACAGGATTATCAACGTGAAAATGATCCACCCTCTTCATCTTGGGCTTTTAAACTTTTTCTTTTCTCTGCGCCGGACTGCTGATGTGTTTTTTCCGGGCATTGTTGTCCATCAATTATGATCATTTGCAGTCAGCCTGTTTTGTTAATAACTATATAGAATGAAAGGTTTTTTTTTTTTTTTTTGAGCAACTGGGATGGTGCCCCCCTGGGAGTTGGTGCCCTACGCAAACTGCATACCCAGCGTATAGGGAGCGGCGGTACTGAAGTCTGTTCCTGCTGCGCTTGCGGATCACTTTCTTCAATGAAGGCGACCCCACCCCTCCCGCTCTCCCGCTTCTCTCCTCCCAGCTGCCATTGAGGAGAGACCTTCTCTTGCAAGTGCAGGGCAAAATGTGGCACCTCCAGCTGGAGCTGTGGAGCCTTCATGTCTGGCCCCTCGACGGGAACCTAGTCAGCTCCCCGCGAGAGTCACTAACACCATTTTAGAAGCTAGAGCTCCGTCTACAAGACATCTCTGTTAGCCCTCCCCATGGCAGATGGCTTCCTGGATCCCAGCTTATTGTGCCCTATTCGGGCACTCAGAGTGTATATTGAGCTCTCTAAGTCGTTCAGAAAATCGAAGCAGCTCTTTGTGTGCTTTGGAGGCCGCTCTAAAGGGCTGCCGGTTACAGCATCTATCTCACTCGATAGTAAATGCTATAGCCCTGGCTCACGCCTCAGCTGGCTCGCAATGCCCTATAGGAGTGAGGGCCCATTCCACCAGAGGAATGGCCTCCTCGTGGGCGTGGTCTAGTGGGATCTCTATTGGAGAGATTTGTCCAGCTGCCGGCTGGTCTTCGCCGTCTACCTTCATTAGATTTTATAATTTGGACATCCCTGCCCTGCAGGCGCAGATCTTATCTGCTTAATATCTACCCATTTCCCCCCTCAGGTGGAAGGGCTATATCAAGTAGACCTCAGACTATACTTGGGTCACTTCTGTAGCTCAGGCTTATGGAGCCCTCGCTGAGTGCTCCTGGGTTGAGCTCATAGAAGCAGACTTAGTTCTTAGTTCTTAGTCGTCAAGACGACGCAACGAGAGTTACCTTTCGATAGGGAACGCGCCGATTACTAACATAACCTCAGTTCCCTGAGATAAAGGAATGAACATTGCATAAATAGCCGTGCTGTAAGCTGCACGGGAAGAATGACTGTCGCTTCAGTCGAGTGATTTTGATGAGATGGCGCTCTGAGCCGTCTTATATAGCCAGGTGGCCCCGCCCATTTTGGTGGGTTAGAGCGTCATTGGTTTGTGCAGCTACAAAAATGTGAACAAATCAAGCTTCAGTATCAGAGTAAAACAGGAGTTTTGCCGATAGTCATCAAGATGACACAACACTCGGTCCATTATCTCAGGAGCGAGGTTACGTTAGTATCCGGTATATACACTGAACAAAATTATAAACGCAACACTTTTGTTTTTGCCCCCATTTTTCATGAGCTGAACTCAAAGATCTAAGACTTTTTCTATGTACACAAAAGGCCTATTTCTCTCAAATATTGTTCACAAATCTGTCTAAATCTTTGTTAGTGAGCACTTCTCCTTTGCCGAGATAATTCATCCACCTCACAGGTGTGGCATATCAAGATGCTGATTAGACAGCATGATTATTGCACAGGTGTGCCTTAAGGCTGGCCACAATAAAATGTGCATATTTTTTACCAATAATCTTTAGTGAAGAAATTTCACATGCTTAAGTCTAGTGTGACCACGGCTTTACCCTGAAAACTGTCAGAAGATGGAAAGTTAAATTCATTGATAAATGTGTCTGAGTTTCTCTGTCTGTAGAATCAGCTGCTTCAGACACAGACAGACGTGCAGCAGATGATCCAGAACAGAATGAAGAAGATTGAAGAGATCCAGCACTCAGTAGAGCTGAGAAAGGTGAGTGGGGGAATTAAAAAAAAAAGTAATAATGTAAATAAATCATAATATTTCAATCTGCTTAATAAAGGAGCTCAATTAATTGGATTTTAAAAAATGACTCGTTTTAAGTAACATGAGGACAGTACATGAGAGAATTTTCCTTTTGTTCCTTATATCACTTTAAATAAATATGTAACAATATAAAAGATTGTCACAGTTATGAACTTTTTATTGTGTTTCTCTCTGTTCCTGTTCTCCTGCCCGGTTTAGTTCTGTTAGTTTCTTATTAGTCCTGATTTGTTTCTATGTTTATATGATTTGCAGCTGTCTATCATTCTTTTTTTTTCATTACGTATACTCCCTGTTCTGTTCAGTATTTGCCGGTTATTGTTTATGTTCACGTGTTTGTGCTACGTTGGTTTCGGTGATCTCCTGTGTATTTATTATTAAAGGACTGAGCTGCTGAAGATGATGGAGGAACAGCAGAAAGCAGCAGAGAAACAGGCTGAAGATCTCATTAAAGAGCTGCAGCAGGAAATCACTGAGCTGAAGAGGAGAAACACTGAGCTGGAGCAGCTCTCACACACTGACGATCATCTGCACCTCCTGCAGGTCTGTCAACATCTGTATCATCACTGAGAATAGAGAATATTATTTATCAAATGCTCTGTTGACAAACATGATGAGCTGCTGTCTTTAGAAATTGTACAGAAGAGAATGAAAGCGTAATAGTCAAATCAGAAAAATGAATTAACTCTGTTAGAAAGCTCATGCCTAATTTAAAGTTAAAAATATAAAATGAACATATTTACTAGTCCTCTCTCTCCTGCTGTAGAAGTTCTCATCCCTGTGCAGTCGTCCACACACCAAGAACTGGACTGAGATCAGGATCGACTCTGATGTGGATGTGCGGTCTATGAAAAGAGCTTTGATTCAGCTGAAGAAAACTCTAGATCGGAGTCTAAATGAAAAACTCCGTCAGTCTGGTATGTTAATATCAAACACAGTGAATAGATTTCTTATGTGAACTTCTATCCAAACTTTAACTCTTGTCATAACCAATTAAATCAGTATTACTTGTGAATACCAGAAAACAACATGTAATGAACATGATTTAAGTATTAAAGGGGTCATATGATGCTGCTAAAAAGAAAATTATTTTGTGTATTTGGTGTAATGCAATGTGTTTATGCAGTTTAAGGTTAAAAAACACATTATTTTTGTGCTTTGATTGGCCAGATATCCAGTGCGTTATGATTGGCTGAATGCTTCAAGTGTGTGACGGAAATGTTACACCCCTACCATACTGTGATGCCGTGTCCCGGTGCGATGAGACAAAACCAATCGAACCCATTACAAATGAGGCATTTGTTGCATCCAGTGGGAACATAATTACAGATTATAATGACTTATGCTGTCTTTTTACGTGTTGCGTTGCGTATTGCGCCGCGTTAACATAAAACCATGTCTGCATTTGTGATCGGAGAAATGACAAACAACAAGCGCTACTCTACACTGCTCAAACAGAGGCAGCAGCAACAATACTACAGCCAGGGTTGCTAGGTTTTCACAAGAAAACCCGCCCAATAACTCTTTAAAACTATCCCAAAACTAGCCCAATCGCGGGGTCCCCAGTTAAAAATCACGTTCCGGGAGGTAAAATACACGTCTTTTGGCGGGGTCCCCCTGATAAAAGTCGCATTCCAGGGGATAAATATCATGTTATTGGAGTCGCTTCAACCCGTGGACATGAAAAACAACCCGCGGCAACAGTGTTAAAGTAGGCCAATTCCACGGAAAAACTGCAGACTTGGCAACACTGACTACAGCGAGAATCAAAATTACGCCTTCTTTCTTTGCGTGAACATTTGGGCGGTGTTATGCAAATCTTCCCACACAGTGAAGTAGACATGTGGTGGCGTGTTTAAATGAAGCGTTTTAGGAGGGCGTGGACAAGTCTTAACTTTTATAAAGAATATCTCTTTGGGTTTGAGACTTTAGTCTTTGCAACTTTAGGGATCTTATCTATGCACGAACAGCTTGTAACACTCCAAAGAGAAAGGAAAACTTGAAATTGCATCATATGTACCCGTCTAAACAGAAATCTGCCTAAAATTAAACGGTCTAAAAAGCATTTCCCACCTCACAAGGACAAGCTCAAATAACACATATTTACACTGAATAATTTATATCAATAATTAAGGCTCTAATTAGAGATTTAATTAAAACTCTAATCTCTCTGTTATGATTGTCTCATAGATCTATAATTGTATTTAATTTAAAGCAGAGGTCTTCAAAGTTTTTCAGGGTAAGGACCCCTTGATACAAAATGTGTCAAGCAGAGCTACATATAAAGCATATAACCTTCAATGTTAATAGAAACTAACTGTTACAGGACCGACGAGACGAGCGGCATGCAGATACAAGAGCGCAAACAACAGGCAAGATATCTAAAAACACGACTAGGCTAGACAGGGCAATGACTTGACTGAACTAGGAAACTGGCTCCGTAATAATGCTATCAGCAGAACAGTGATACATGCACACAATACTCGGCAGTGAACGGTTGTTTGAGACTGATTCTTATAGTGGGTGTAATTGGCTACAGGTGTAAACGTAATCAGTGAAATGGAGCATGGGAATGTAGTCTTGTGTAGTGTGAGAGTCAATATAATCAGAAGGCGACATCTGGTGGCGAGCAGACAGAAGAATATGGACCTGATTCGTGACACTAACCATATTATGATTAAGAATAAATATAATTATGTTACATGAATATTATGTTAAGACAGTAGATCAGAAGTTACATTATTGTTGTTGCACATGCCTGTATATTACTTGTTAAAATGCATCATAAAAAAAATCACAATTCATTAGTTGTTTACAGTTGTTTTAAATTATTTTTATGGATTTGCAGAGTCATACATCTTAATTTTACTAGTCAGATGGACATTTACAGTTACCTGAACTTTAGCTACAAGTTTATTTAAAGAAAAAATCACATTTTAATTTTACTGTCTGAAGGACAAATAAACATTTTGTTAAACTTAAAGGGGTCATATGATGCGATTTCAAGTTGTTCTTTCTCTTTGGAGTGTTACAAACTGATTGTGCATAGATAAGATCCCTGAAGTTACAAAGACTAAAGTCTCAAAACCAAAGAGATATTCTTTATCAAAGTTAAGACTCTGCCACGCCCCCCTAAAACGGCTCGTTCTAACACGCCCCCACATGTCTACCTCACTATGTGGGAATATTTGCATAATGCGCACGCAAAGAAAGAAGGCGTGGTTTCAGTAACCGCAGTTAGTGTTGAAGCAGCATGTCAGGGAGACGCTGTGTGTTTCTAGGCGAAAGCAAAAGCACTTTATTTGGCCTTCCGAAAGTAGATGCATTTAGGAATCTTTAAGATTACTTACAACAGAACAGCAATGCATTTTATGGACGACCGTTTCGTGAACCTAGGAGAGGAGGTCATTCTGACTTTGCTATGACAATCTGGCGCTTCTGAATCAGCTACTGTTTTGTTATTAGTTTAAATATTTGCTATTGACTGTTCAAATGCAGAGTTTTGCGCATCGTGTGTGTGTGTGTGTGTGAAAAAAAAAATCCGTCCGGTTCCGATTTATGGCCGATGGTCGATCGGTGCATCTCTGCTCAAATTCAAATATTAAACTGCTTTTATTTTGGTGGTTTGCCAGCAAATAAAGAATGTGCTGCATGTTTCAGAGTGAAGCGCTGCTTGTCATGGGCTGCACTCGAACACATTACCCGCTTCATTCCGCAAACTGCAGCACATGTATTATTTAATTAAATCGCAACCTTTGCGATATGACTATGGCATTAAGCCATAATGCGATATCTATTATATTTCGATATATAGTGCACCCCTAATTAAAATAATATTATTATTTAAAAAAAAACTTAAATCATTTGGGGCGCCCCTAGCATTTGCCTATGCGACGGGCCGGCCCTGTATTCGACGGATTATAGCTATAACTCGAAAGTGCGAAAGAACGCTCAGTTTACAATCACTAAAAAGCTTTCACTGATCTCAGTTTGCGATCTCACAACGTGATAGATAGATAGATAGATAGATAGAACGACAGAAGAATAGATAGATGGATAGATAGACAGATAGATAGAACGACAGAAGAATAGATAGATAGATAGATAGATAGATAGATAGATAGATAGATAGATAGATAGATAGATAGATAGATAGATAGATAGATAGATAGATAGATAGATAGATAGATAGATAGATAGATAGATTATGCATCCCGGATACATTTTATATGTGTTTTAATATTTGAAGTTTGTTTTCCAGTAGCAGAAAGACTAGAAAATGATGAGTAGAAAGAGTAGAGTTTTGTTCTAAGTGTACATAATTTAAACATTTAAGTGTAAAACGTTTACTGCAAGTAGAAAAAAAAATACTCATACACTATCAGCACCAGAACAAAAGAAGCACTTCTAAACGTCTGTAGACAAATTTATTTCAGTTTTCAACAACAAACACAGTTGATTTCACTCCGACAACAAAACACAGCGTCTCTCCAGAGCGAGACGAGACTCGTGAACATGAACAAGAGCTTGACGTGTAGATGAGTGACGTCTGTACACCGGCTGACTTGTGTTCGCCAGCGAAAACCAACATCTGTACAGAACATTAAACATGTTAAACAGCACGCATGTAACAACCTGCTAGTCATTACACGCATGCTGAATAGCTATTCAAAGAAATAGTTCACCAAAAAATTTATATTTGCTCATAATTCACTCACCCTCAGGCCATGAAAGATGAGTAGATGAGTTTGTTTCTTCATCAGGTTTGGAGAACTGTAGCATTGCATCAGTGTCTCAGCAATGGATGCTCTGCAGTGAATGGGTGCCGTCAGAATGAGAGTCCAAACAGCTGATAAAAACATCACAATAATCCACCGCACTCCAGTCCATCAGTTAACATCTGAAGAAGACAAAAGCTGAAACAGAAGCTGAAACAAATTAACTGATGGACTGGAGTGCTGTGGATTATTGTGATGTTTTTATCAGCTGTTTGGACTCTCATTCTGACGGCACCCATTCACTGCAGAGCATCCATTGCTGAGACACTGATGCAATGCTACATTTCTCCAAACCTGATGAAGAAACAAACTCACCTACATCTTGGATGGCCTGAGGATGAGTGAACTGTCACATTTTTTTAGCTGAACTATCGCTTTCAAGTGGTGCGCCATGCAATGTGAACAATACTGTCTTGGTGAAACTTCAGTATAAATCCAACTGAAAACATGTTCAGTAATCATTTTACTCGAATATAACTCCTAATTTCATTAAATACGACATATACAGTGAAGTTAACAGTGGTCGAGTGTTAGTTGCCTGGTTAACACAGTGGAAAATCAGTGAGGTTGTTCAGGTTAGTGGAATGAATCCAGACTGACGACAGAAACATACTTTACTCGAGCACAAATGCAAGAGAACACCAACCACAGACTAAAACAACACAATATTTAGGCCTACATTTAAGATTCATGTATTTGAACTGCATATAAAATGTCAATGCATTTGGATTACACAGTTTTATCATAAAGAAACTAATAAACTTAATGCTATACATATTTGTTAGTCATACATAAATGAAACCGGTCAGATTTCTGTAATATTGCTAATAAACTGAATGTGTTATAAACACACAATAACCATAATCAATAAATCTTGTTTTAATGTCATACATTTGAACTAACTGAGCATTGCTTGTTTCACAGCTAGTCATACCATGTTCATACTTTTTAACTGAATAAATTTAATCGCTTTCACACACAGATTTACGCTGATTCTAAACTATTTTAATAAATGCATTATGAAAATATGATTTTAAATTAAATCAAATAGATACTTTTTTTTTTGGAATGCAGAAATCTGACCTTTTTCCATTTATGCATGACTGACAAATATGAATCACATAAAGTTTATTAGTTGGTTTATGATAAAACCGTGTAATCCAAATTGTAAATGCAATCCAAATACATAAATCTTAAATT